AATACCTGGAAATACCCCTTGAACCTCAATATTAGAAAACAAATTTGGAATATCAAGGATCTACATTTATTTATATCCTTATAATTCCAATTTATATTCCCCCTGCCCCTAATTTTTGGGAAAAAATCACTACTATAATACTCGAGCACTAAATCATTAGACCACGATTTCATTCATCGTGCATGCTAGAAATAATGCAAACGACGAAGTTTAACCATAACACGAAGTCAAGTCCCACTCTAGTATCATTCTTCCACCAGAAAATAACCAAACATCAGAAATAATTATTCACCTGGCAAACCCACGCCCGAATTGCATGAGAATTTCAATAAATTCGTTGCTGCGAACTGGAAATCAATGAAAAAATATAATAATAAGAATAAATTTGTACAACACAGGAAGAGAAACCGAAGAATTGCGAGAAAGTACGAAGCTTATCTCGTAACCGGTGGCTCTGCGCGCGCGCAAGGGTAAACCGAATCTCGATGCTAGAATCTGAAAAGCTGCGCGGGATTATGCGTGAATTATCGTTAATTTATTTTAAGTTAAAACCTTTTTTTACAACGATATCTTACAATGTCGCTTTATACATGTTTCACGAAATCGGTTAATCGCCACGGGACGCCGGTCGTCGGTCAAACGTCGCGGCACCGTGTCCACCTGGTGGGCCTCGAGGGACGTCCATTTTCATCCCTTCGACGCGTCCTTCCTCTCTCCTCTTCATCCACCCTTCGCCATTTTATCGTACAAACATCGTACGCGCCACGTCTCCATTCCCCGTGTGTGTGTCCTCGTGTGTGTGTGTGTGTGTGTATGTGTGTGTCTCTTTATACAGTCTACACGCTACTCCCTAATAATACTATTTTATTAGAATAACATGCCCCCTCGTTCCTCCCGTCGTCCTCCGCGCCGTCGCTCTCGCCCGTTCGCGATCAAAAGGGCCATAGATCCGCGCATAGATCCCCCGCCCTTTCTCCCTCCTCCTCCCGTCAGTCTTTTCTCCTTTCCTTCTCCTTTCAGCCCCTCTGTCGCCACCACCCTGCACTCGCACACCCCTCTCCCCGCCCCCGAGAACCTCGATGATCTTCGGATTTCGTGGAAGATCGAGAGGAGCGTCCATTCCGAAGATCCATGGATCTTACGTTCGTGTATCATTCGATTCGAACCTTCTACGATCTTCGTCGTACGCGAAACCGGTCAGAAAACATTTCACTGAATTTATTGCACGTGTATTAACCGACTTCGAGTGCGCTGGTAATTGGGGGTGGAAATTGGGAGATGGGGGTGAAGGGTGAAGTAGAATAAAACGAGGGTCAGAGTGGTTGAAAATTTGGAAGTAAGGAGAGAGATGTTGGAACTCGAAGATAGGTTCTTTGAATGTAAACGATTTTAGGTGAATTAATATTGGGGTAGAGTTGTGGAAATTGGGGGTGCTAATTGGAAGATGAGGTGTACATTAGCATAAGATAAAAATTAAAATTTGGAGGTAAGGAAATGGATACTGGAATTCGAAGATCGGTTTTTGGAGTATGAACCATCTTGGTTTGATTAAAATTGGGGTTAAGTTGAGGAAATTAGGGGTGAAAGGTGGAAGATGTAGGTGAAGTATAGTAAATTATTTAAGACAAGGATTAGCGTGGTTAAAAATTCAATGACAAGGAAACGACCATTAAAACTCGAAGCCAATTGTTTCGAGTATAAATGATTTTAAATGAATTGAAATTGGGGTGGTGTTATGAGAATTAGGGATGAAAATTGGAAAATGCAGGTGAAGTATAGTAAATTACTTAAGACATGGATTAGGGTGGTTAAAAATTCAGAGATGAGGAAACGACCATTAGAACTCGAACCTAATTGTTTCGAGTATAAATGATTTTAGATAAATTAAAATTAGGGATGAAAATTGGAAAATGCAGGTGACGTATAGTAAGCTGTTTAAGACAAGAATTAGGATGGTTAAAAATTCAGAGATGAGGAAACGACCATTAGAACTCGAACCAAAATTTCTCGCGTATAAACGATTCTGTGGACAAACAAAGAAATTGGGGTGGATTTATGGAAATTGGGGATGAAAATTGTAAGATACAGATAAGATTATAATAAAAATTCGAAGATAAGGATACAGATATTAGAACTCGAACCAAAATTTCTCGCGTATAAACGATTCTGTGGACAAACAAAGAAATTGGGGTGGATTTATGGAAATTGGGGATGAAAATTGTAAGATACAGATAAGATTATAATAAAAATTCGAAGATAAGGATACAGATATTAGAACTCGAACCAAAATTTCTCGCGTATAAACGATTCTGTGGACAAACAAAGAAATTGGGGTGGATTTATGGAAATTGGGGATGAAAATTGTAAGATACAGATAAGATTATAATAAAAATTCGAAGATAAGGATACAGATATTAGAACTCGAACCAAAATTTCTCGCGTATAAACGATTCTGTGGACAAACAAAGAAATTGGGGTGGATTTATGGAAATTGGGGATGAAAATTGTAAGATACAGATAAGATTATAATAAAAATTCGAAGATAAGGATACAGATATTAGAACTCGAACCAAAATTTCTCGCGTATAAACGATTCTGTGGACAAACAAAGAAATTGGGGTGGATTTATGGAAATTGGGGATGAAAATTGTAAGATACAGATAAGATTATAATAAAAATTCGAAGATAAGGATACAGATATTAGAACTCGAACCAAAATTTCTCGCGTATAAACGATTCTGTGGACAAACAAAGAAATTGGGGTGGATTTATGGAAATTGGGGATGAAAATTGTAAGATACAGATAAGATTATAATAAAAATTCGAAGATAAGGATACAGATATTAGAACTCGAACCTAAATTTCTCGTGTATAAACGATTCTGTGTGCAAATACAAAAATTGGGGTGGATTTATGGAAATTGGGGATGAAAATTGTAAGATACAGATAAGATTATAATAAAAATTCGAAGATAAGGATACAGATATTAGAACTCGAACCTAAATTTCTCGTGTATAAACGATTCTGTGTGCAAATACAAAAATTGGGGTGGATTTATGGAAATTGGGGATGAAAATTGTAAGATACAGATAAGATTATAATAAAAATTCGAAGATAAGGATACAGATATTAGAACTCGAACCTAAATTTCTCAAATATAAACGATTCTGTGGACAAACAAAGAAATTGGGGTGGATTTATAGAAATGGGGATGAAAATTGGAAAATACAGACGAGGTCCAAATTTCGATAAGACGTGGTTAGGAATGTATGAGAAGTAAGATAAACGTTACGAGGGATGGGAGCTCGAAGATCGGTTTACTAGGGGTGGCGAGGGTGGGGTTGGTTGGCGTTTGGTTGAAATCGGGCCTGGCAAGATCGAGAAAAGAAAGGATCGGAATTGCGGCGAATCTGGCCGGCTCGTGCCGAGTGTGCCCGCGCGATTAATTAATTAATTAGAAGGAGAGATTAATGAATAATCGGCGATACCGGCCGATCGGCGACCACGATAATAGTAATAAGAATAATAATGATAATCGTCATTCACGGCTATTAACCTTTCTCGCTCGCGATAAATCGTTTTAATTACCATCGCGCGCTCCGACTATCTAGATGCAAATCTTACGATGCGCAATTAACCGCTAATTTATGCACAATCACTTTTACTCCTCTCTTTCCTCCCCCCCCTTTTGACTCATTTTGCTTTTCGCCAGCCGCGCTCTCCACGCACACACATACACGCGTGCACACCTACAGATATACATACACACACGCACACACATACACGCTCTCCCAACTATTATTTATAATATTTATAATATTCATACATACATACATACATACATATA